GACTCGATTTTTATGCGAAATGTATAACCCATTTTTATTTGTTGTTTCAGAACGTTTCTCGGAGCAAATGGCACAGCTCTGCATGAACGATGATTACTCGGATGTGACATTCATAGTAGAAAATGAGCGGCTACCAGCGCATCGCGTGATTTTGGCGGCACGTAGCGAATATTTTCGAGCGCTGCTGTTCGGCGGTCTATGCGAGTCCAGTCAAAGCGAAATTGAACTGAAAATTCCCGTGGATGCTTTCAAAGCTTTGTTAAAATACATATATTCAGGTCGTATGCCACTGGCACAGATGGATGAGAACAACATACTTGATACTTTGGGATTGGCAAATCAGTACGGTTTCAACGAATTAGAACATGCAATATCGCAATATTTGCGACACTATTTGGCATTGGATAATGTTTGCGCTATATTGGATGCTGCACGTCTTTACAATTTAGAGAAGCTTACAGAAGTCTGTTTGACATTTATGGATCGCAATGCAACAGATATATTACAACATGAATCCTTCCGAGCGCTGTCTGAGGTCCGAATAATACCAATATTTGGAACATCAAGTCAAACTAATAAAATCATGTTTTACAGGAATCTTTGGAAGAAGTTCTCAAACGGGATTCATTTTTTGCTCCTGAGGTGGAGATTTTTTTAGCCGTATGGGAGTGGTGCAAGTACCACTCAAATATTAATATTGATGTAAGGAATATTGTTTTTAAACTTGGAAAAACCTTTAGTTTACTTTTCGTCTTATGTTTAGTCTGTAGTTTCCTACGTACGTTTGCCATTAATGAACCTCGAAGACTTGCTTCAGGTTGTGCGTCCCTCAGGCATTTTAGAACCCGACAAATTACTCGATGCTATTCAGGAACAGACCACTTCTAAATATTTACCATATCGTGCAGCCCTCTGGCCCGAAGAGAATGTGGCTACAGCAAAATTTGGTGCAAGAACTATTCAAGGGGATTGTCGTGCCGCTTTGTTGGATGGCGACTGTGCATCGTATGATATGGAAAAAGGCTATACGCGCCATTGTATTTCAGACATTAATGACAGCGGCGGAATAACTGTAGAACTGGGCACAACCTGTATTATCAACCATATTAAGATGCTTCTCTGGGATCGGGATAATCGTTCGTATTCCTACTTCATAGAGGTTTCAGCGAATTCCACCAACTGGGATCGTGTTATTGATTACACCCAGCATTACTGTCGCTCATGGCAATTCTTGTATTTCCCAGCGCGTCCAGTGCGCTACATCAAGCTCGTAGGCACACGTAACACTGTGAATAAAGTGCGTTTTATAGTAAAATTAGCAGTTGAATTCTGAAATAATTCTGTTTTTTTTTTATGTAGGTATTTCATGTTGTTGGTTTGGAGGCGATGTATACCGCTTCTATGCCTAAGGTGATCAATGGAATTGTGGCACCTACTTCGAATGTTGCACGCACAGATATGAGCGCTATTGTTGTGGACGGTGTGAGTCGTACGCGAAATGCACTCTTGAATGGTGATTATGTAAATTATGATTGGGACTCAGGCTACACCTGTCATCAATTGGGTAGCGGTGAAATTGTTGTTAGATTAGGTGAGTCTTAAAAATAAGATAATGGAACCCATGCACATATAAAAATTTGTATTAAATTACAGGGCAACCTTACGTTATTGGCTCAATGCGTTTGCTGTTATGGGATTGTGATGATCGCACTTATAGTTTTTACATTGAAACATCGGTAAATGGAAAGGACTGGCATATCGTTGTCGATAAACGTAACGAACAAGTGCGCTCATGGCAAAATTTCTCTTTCACGCCAAGGCCGATCGTTTTTATACGCATTGTGGGTACACGCAATACGGCTAATGAGGTAAGTAATCCAAATTAAAGAAAAAAGTTTTGTGTAGTGAAGCTCCGGAAGTTTTTTTTTAAGATTTTCTTTACTTATTTATGAATTTTCCGAGAAATTTACAATTCATATTATTTACAGATCTTTCATTGTGTGCACTTAGAGTGTCCCTCACAGGACCCCAACTTTCTACAAATGGAAAAAGAAGAAGAACAGCAAGGCAATAGCAAGGCGCTGGACGCTTCGGGTGCCGGTGGTGACAGCAATGAAAGCTGCGCTAGCACAGCAAGTGTCAGTAGCACAGCAAGCAATTATAATAATAATTCAAATCAGTCGAACGACCAGCAATTGCCAGAAGTTCTCATCAAACTAAACAATGTTTCAGTTGATGACAATTAGTTATGCTATTTCTAATGAAAACAGATCGGACAGAGGAGCCGCGTCGGTGCTATAAGCATGTCGAATAACACCACATAACATAAAAAAATGCCATTAGTGCGACTCATTGTCATTTTATTTTACTTTGAATATACATAATTAAATATACGGAACTAAATTATAAGAGGTTTGAACGTGGTCGCAATTAACAAACGGTTGCTTTAGTACAATATTTTTTAATAAGAAAAATCGGTTGCAATATTTTTCATACATCAACATTGTTCAACTTTTAAATAATGGAAATGGCATATTAAAAAAATAGTCTTTGTCAATCAATGAAAATTTAAATGAAATCTTAATTCAGAACGCATATCTCTAATTTGCCACAGTAAAATATCTTAAGGATGAATCTTTTATTAATAAAAAAATACACTGATTATGTTTAAAACAAATCCAATATACTTATAGCTACGGAAATGTATTATGAAAAGAAACAAAAAATTTTAAAAGACGAAACAAAATGGGGAATTTCACAAACTATTACTGTTCTTCATTTAATATTTTATGTTGATAACCAAGCATGTCGTTTAGAATATGGTCTATTTATTTTATCTGTTTAGCTTTTATGTTAGGGACATACATATGTTTATTTCTGTATATATATATATTTGGATTCAAGATAAAAGGAGTCTTTTTTTAAACGCTTTGGTATATAAGCTTTTTGAAATGAATTGTTTATGCAGCGCTGTAAATTTTCAGCTTACATTGTTCAAATAACTGTAAGAACTTTTCGTTATTTATAAATTCTGTATTGGGCTAAATTGAAAAAATATTTCCGGTTATAAGTTTAAAATATAAAATTTAGCCTGAGTAAGTTCTGGAAAGTTTATTTTTAATAATATTGACACCAATGTCGTGAGTTTTCTACAAACATGTTTTAATTGAATGAAATTTTAAATTTAATAAAAATTGTACACACTTTTAACAATTGAGAGATTTTATTTTTAATAATATTGACACCAATGTCGTGAGTTTTCTTCAAACATGTTTTAATTGAATGAAATTTTAAATTTAATAAAAAACTATACACACTTTTAACAATTGAGAGCCAGTTTGACGAAAGTGATTTAAGTGAATTTAAAATGAAAAGTGACAGAAGTAATAAATTTATAGTTCACTTAAATTGAGGGTGAAACCGTCCGGCCGTTAGTGTTTTTGATTGAATGGCTATGGAAAGATACAAGAAATAAATCATACCAATAAATTTGGGAGCAAACCCAAACGTGGTAAGGCTGAGTAATAATTTCTCCTAAAAACAATAGTGGTATTCAACAAATTGAGCAAGTGGCCTGGCAGTCTGGCAAAAGAGCAGATGAGCTCAAGCAACGACTGTTGACAACCACGACTGTGAATACCACTAATGTTTTTTTTTTATCTATATACATACATCAGTGCTCGAATCGTAGTACTCGTCACGTAAAAACACATTTTTCGCATTATAGCATACGTGACCGTACTCTTTATCCCATTCACCTTCCAATATTTAATCATTTTCCATGGCTAGAAAAAAATATTGCATTTTTAAAGAGGATAAATTGGACCCCTATGTCGTAAAGCTATATGATTTAAAAGCAGAATGCAACATAAAGCTTTGACATTGCTTGAATTACGGCAACAAGTACCTGATTTAAAATATCCGCTGTTGAAAACAGCTGTGTGCCGTATATTTTCAATTTTTGGGTACAACGTATAACCGTGAGTCTTTACAATGAAATTCGTAAAGTCAAAATACTGTTCACAATTGACTAACCAACATTTAACAGAACTGAACTGACGTAAAACCAGACTTTGAAAATTTGGCCAAAGGGATCCTTTGAATTTTCTTAATCAGCCTCATTGCGGAAGTCATAAATTGGCTAAATTGTATGACTCGACAACACTGACACAACACGTACTGAAATAAGTAAACAACCAAAATCGTAGAAAACTATACAGTGCTGCCAAGTTTTTCCGTTCTAATACACTATTCGAGTGGAAGTTTTAGGCAATGACGTGAAATTTTCGATACGATTCGACCCTCGGAAAAGGACTTGCATTCGACATGACTCTCGCAATGAGGATGAATATCTATTTTACGTACATTAGAGTAGAATTAAGGTTTTTCATTTCTAATAATTTTATTTAAAAATAAAATTTTTGTTATGGTTTTTTTTGGGGCTCTTTGTAGCATTTAGAATCTTAATGCGGTCTCGGCCTTGCCTACCCCTGGTATAGAGCGTGTCAGACGTGGCAATGCAATATATTTCGAATAAGCTGCCAAATGGAGAAATTTCAGAAAGCAGTTGCATGAGCAGTCACACTTGCATGTAAAGTGTCTTTCGAAAGAGAGAGTACGAGTACGTTCACTCGCTCGTTCACGCCTGACATCATACCGAATTACGATATGAGAAGTTCGTTCACGTCTGTCACAATCCGATTTTGTCATTTTTACGTGACGAGTTGCTCGTTCACAACTGTTATGATTCGACCCCCGGGGTGAGATCGTTAACATAAATATCATTTTATATATACACTTTTTATCAGCTGATTAAGTCATCAACATTTTGATCGATTTTGGCTGTTTCTCTTTCGTTTATTTAATGTTTATTATTTTTCCATAAAAGCCAAGCTCATTAACAAACAAAATATGAATCCACAAAAATTGTGCAAAAATTATAAACAATTGCAAATTTTCAGCTAGATTTTCAACTTTCTATTCAGATTTTTTTAGCCCATTAAATTTCAGGGCAATAATGTGCAAGGTTTAAGGGGCTAAATACTCACGTTGATTTTTAATAATTTTTTTAATAATTCAATATCAAAAAATTGTTACGAATTGTTACTAGTACTTGCAAGTTTTTACTGGAAATGCATTCAATAACCCAAAATATTTGCAAGAGGGAGCGAATTCGAGAGCGTAACAACCCGAGAGAGCTGCAAATTTTACTTGCAGGAATTTGCAGGAGTCCAAAAGTAAGGTTATGTTTCAAATTCAAATGTAAACGAACTGTTTAAGAGCTAATCATCCTCATGAAACATAATTAGTGAAATGAAAATATGGATAACAAATTTTAATCTATTGTATATTTTTTACTTTTATGAAAAAATTAAAAAGAAAATTGCGCGCCAAAACTTAAGCATCAGAAAGTGTCAAAATGGTTTAAGTTGCAAGTTTTTACTAGTTTTGCGTTCAATAACTTTTTCTGAAAATTTTCTCTTGCTCTCAATTTTATTCTCTATTTTTCTTTTACGCTCTCGCTGCAAGTACTTACTGGAAAAGTTATTGAATGGACCTAATATTTCAGTCTTTTTTGCATTCAGTACATTTTCAATGAAGTCTTAAAAAGGCCGCCTACTTTTTTCTGACGTTTTATGCTGCACAGTTTTTGGTGCTTTTGCGAGCGTGCCTGCTGCAATAGATCGGCTCTACCTGATTTGGCTTTTAATGTGCAATAGCATCATTACAGCAAGCCTCGTAACCTCAAGTGTGTACACAACCAGCCTTTGAACACGGGATCCTTAGTCCAAGAATTCAAAAAAAACCTTTGGAGGAAGCAGCTGCAGCAAAACACAAAGATTGTAAAGATTTATTAAGAAAATAATTCAAAATCAGTTCTACTTATAAGATTTAGTAACAAAGAAAAATTACTGGGAAGTTAAAAAACGTAATTTTTTTACACAAAAAACGTCCAAACGTCAACAGGGTACAAAAAACGTCCAAATGACGTTAAAAACGTCAACCTGGCAACGCTGATTGCTTGTGCAATTTATTTTGATGATTTTGGTGATTTATTTCGTTTCAACGTTAACGATTGAGTTTTGTTTCGTCAATTTGAAACGTAACGAAATTATTTTGATAAGTTATTTTTGCGCATCAACAAAACGAAATCGATTCATATAGTTTGCTGAGCATCTCTGCTCGGATTCAGTGATACATTTTTTTTTCGAATTCATAGTAGGCATTCGAATTCGTAGATTTTCTACGATAGATTCCGTTATAGCCCTGAATATTTGAAATTCATAACCATTTTAATTATACACATGGTCTGTTCCCGTACTTCACGATTTCCAGGATTTACAGGAACAGGTGTTTTCGCCTTTAATAAACCTTATAATAAACGCTACGTCGTTGACTGTTTGAGCTTTAACAGTCAAACACAAACGTCATCTTCTGACTATTTACAGGCGCTCATCCGGTGGACGAACTGGGTAATTTTGCATAAGCGAATGTGTAAACCACACATATTAAACTGCACAGGGTTGCAAATTCGCAGGGTGCACTTGATTATTATTTTTTTTGGTCATTTGTTACTCGAAAATCCATACCAATGGTGTTTTATGCAGTTATGTATTCTTTGTTTTTTTGTGATGTTGCATTCCGAACTTTTTTTTTGCAGTTTGCTTTAATCACGTTTAAAATTTTTCAAATCAATTGGAATTTTGAGTACGCAGTTTTATAGCCCATTAAGTTTTAGTATAATTAAGTGAAAGCATCAAGTAGCTACACTGCCTATTTAGGGGAAAATTGCATGTACTTATTAGGTGCTTGAAACCTACCAAGATCCAATCTAGCCTACCAATCTGCCAAATGGAAATAAACCTACCAGTTTTGGTGGGAAAAGCCCATGTGTGGCAACACTGCTTAGCACGTCGTTCCATTTGTTTGCATTTCTCACCCAAGGCGTATTTAACAAGGTGGTGTTGGCCGTATATAAGTAAAAAATTACACTAACAAATAATACGCTCATGTCCATACTGTCATTGGTATGAGTTACAACAAACACATCATTTTGACGTAATGGCCTCCACGGCGAAAAACTCAGCTGGCGCCCCAACACCACCTTGTTTAATACACCTTGTTCACACCTACAAAATTTTATTCCTCACACAATTTTCTTGTATTCGCACATGATTTGGGTTAATCTTGATAATTTAAAACACAGCGCGCGACGCTCACCATCCCCATTTCACAGCGCTGTCAGGTTAATAGACACAAATAGAGAAGCCAACCAACTCACAAAAGCCAAGCACACGTTCAACAAAATACATATGTAAAGCCAAACAAGAGCGTCAATGAATTCTGTAGGCACGATACAAAAATATCATGGGCTTTCACAAACAGCTACACATTCACACACTGCCGTATGTACATAAATGGAAAACAAAAATTTTTAGTTGACTAGCAGGAGCACGTTGGATACGCCGCTTCATTTGAGCAGCTTCCTTCAAACATTTCTTCTTTTGCTATCTATTATCTGTCGCGTGTTTTTAGTCTCCCGCCTCATACTCCATGTCAGCGGGTTTGCTTTCACGTTTGGCTTGCTGAGTTAGCTTGGCTAAGCACGTCGTTTTAAGTGGCTTTTAGGCGCATAAGCGTTTTTTTGTGCACAAAGACAGGTCACATATTCTGCTTGGCTTTAACGTGACTTTCTTGTGAGGTCCTAGCAAAGATTTGCTCCTTACATCTTTATACCTACATACATAGATATGTACATATTTACATATAATCAAAGTTCATAGTGCAAGTTTTCACTTAAGTACTCGTTGGTGTCTAGCCTGAAGGGTTGGGGACAGTTTGTTTGGAGCGGCTTTGTATGTGTATGTGGTAAATATCTACGCATGTATGTAGGAGTACATAAACAAGTGCTACTAGTAATAGCAGAACTTCGCCTATTTACTATTTTGCGATGTAGTTTTTACAAATCTATTTTTTGTTTATGTACATACTTTATGCGTAGTTGCAGGCACTAGATCTATCGAGTTTATTTTTAGATTCCATCATTGTAGCGAAATGCTGGAAATCCTTATGAGCAATCGCTTCCCACGGTGCTCTCCTCCGATACTTCGTCTTAGGACCCACTCGTCCCTAGGCAACATCGTAAGGGACATCGTAAGTTATGATGGGGTGTAATGGGCTATACTGTCCTCCCACCCTACAAATCTCCG